GAGACACACACACACAGACACACTCACACACAGACACAGACACACACTCACACACACACACACTCACAGACACACTCACACAGAGAGACACACACACACACTCACACACAGACACAGACACACACAGAGACACACAGACACACACTCACACTCACACACTCAATACCAGATAACTTTGAGCGAACCTTGCCAGAAAGTTCAGAGAATGTTGCTTGTTCGCTGGAATGCTGTTCTATTTATTATATAATACTTACACTATTTTACAGGCTACTACGATCATGGTTATATTTCCTAAATCTATTTTATTACACTTAAATTACAACTAACAACGGTACACAACGACCTCAGAGTGAAGAAGAAATGTCTATGACGCAGCATCATAACGACTGTCTGTCTGTTTTTACAAAAACTCTAGTATTTTCACAGATGTAACGTTCTCAGTATGCACTCAGGCTGCCAGCGCAGTAACATTACACTTTACATTCTGCTGCTGCTATTGTCCTTGTCACTTTTACTTATGTTGCTAATGTAAAATTATTTTAGTTTGAGTTTCGGAACTCTGGTGTAAATCATAAATTACTGGAATAGTTCACCCAAAAATGAAAAATCTGTCATGAGTTATGAAAGAAGATATTTTGAAGAATGTTACCAAACAGTTGACGTCTACAGTAGTTTTTCCCCCTATGGAAGTCAATGGCTACCGTCAACTGTCTGGTTATCAGCGTTCTTCAGAATATCTTCTTTTGTGCTCAACAGAAGAAAGAAACTCACACAGGTTTGGAACAACTCGACGGTGAGTAAATGATGATAAAATGCTATTTCGGGGTGAACTATCCCTTTAAGTTCAGACTTAGGACTCAAGTACAGCTGTCACACTTACAGATTATAATGTTTCCAGCCAAAGGGACACTGTCAATCAATCACAATGCTTTTTTTTCTTGTTTACACTATCATCACACAATGCAGACATTATTTTACATCTATAATAGCGTCTAAATATATATTTGACTTGAATTTGTGTAGAACAGAAATATTTTACTGTAGGAAGTTACTGTTAAATCTAGTAAAACTCGTATTGGTAAATTAGTAGAACGTACTGCTTCTTCTATTAGCATGTTGTTTCTCTCCTGAGCTGTACATGTGTATGCTGCAGATGTGTGATTGTGTTGTTGGTGCTGTGCTGAACTGACCTGCGACCGGCGAGGGTTTGCGCAGAACCAACCAGCGGCTCCTCCACTGCACACACAGACACCGAGCACAGCTTTACACGCGTTCTCTCGCAAACTCTCAAACACACACACACAGGCGGTAACCTACTTTTCTTCCGTCTCTGAGTTGCACGGCTCCCTCCGCGATCACGGTGTCGCTCATCTTCTCCTCGTGACAGCTGCGCGCGCCCCCGCTGCCTCCAGCACGCGCACAGCATATGTCAGAGGTCAGTCAGAGGTCAGAGGTCAGTGGGTCAAACATAATTAACCCTTACACGCATGGGTGGCCCCTTATGAGGAGAGGCGATTTAAATCGGATATTTAAACACACTCACTCACACACAGAGACACACACACACACAGAGAGACACACACACACACACACACACACACAGAGACACACACACACACACACA